ACTGGGCGGTTAGAAACCTCATGAGGTTCAACAGGGGCACGAGTCCTGCACTTGGTGAGGAATAACCCAGGATACCAGTACAGATTAGGGATTTTGACCTGCTGGAGAGCAGCCCCGCAGAGAGGCCCCTCAGTGTTGTGGTGGATGACAAGATGACCATGAGGCAGCAGTGTGCCCTGCATTGCAGTGGCCCAGTAAGAAGGCGAATGGGATCCTGGGGTACATTAAGAACAGCGTCTCCAGCAGGTCGAGGAAGGTGATCGTCCCCCGATACACAGCCCTGGTAAGGCCACATCTAGAGCACTGTGTGCAGTGCTGGGCTCCCCAGTACAAGAGGGATGTGGAGCTGCTGGAGAGAGTCCAGCGCAGGGCTGCAAGGATGATCGGGGGCCTGGAACATCTGCCCTATGAGCAAAGGCTGAGAGAGCTGGGCCTGTTCAGCCTGGAGAAGAGAAGRCTGAGGGGGGACCTGATCAGCGTGTATAAATACCTCAMGGGAGGCAGTGAGGAGGAGGGGGCCGGCCTCTTTTCAGTGGTGGCCAGCAACAGGACTAGAGGAAACGGCCAGAAATTGAGGCACCAAAAGTTCCACAGGAACTTGAGAAAACACTTCTTAACAGTGAGGGTGCCAGAGCCCTGGAACAGGCTGCCCAGAGAGGTTGTGGAGTCTCCTTCTTTGGAGATCTTTAAAACCCGCTTGGACGCAGCCCTGTGTCATGTGCTCTGGGTGACCCTGCGTGAGCAGGGGGTTGGACTAGATGACCTCTGAGGTCCCTTCCAACCTGAAATATTCTATGATTCTACGATATCAAGTCTGTCTCCAAGACACCAAAAGATTCCTTAATCATTTATTTTCTTTCAAAAGTCCTCTTTCTTCCATATTAAAAAAAAAAAAAAAGTGAGAAAGAACTGTACAATTTCTTCATGTTCCCTGTGTACTTTTATATGTTTTAATAATGACAGAGCCATTCTTGCCTGAAATATCAGTGCATGAGCACACTTTTTGCTGCTCGCTTTTATTCACTTATCACCATGACTCACTGCTTGCCATGCTCCCAGTCACCTACCATAACCACGTTGGGAGTCAATCCTTAACTGTGCTGTTTCATTTGACTAACATGGACTAACACATACTGCCTTTGGAGAAATGTCTTCAGATGAAGTGCAAGTATCATAAAGGAGGTCACAAAGAATTGACTTGAAAATACATTTTAATCATATGTGACACTGAATTTTCCACTAGAAAGCTAAACTGCATATAAAGCATATATATATACACACACACATCTATTTAGCTATCTTCTGAACTTCATTTCAGAAGTAGTGGTCCTAAAGTAATTCAGAAGAATTTCTCTGAATTACAAAGAAAACAAATATATGCCCTTTAGGACTATATCATTTCCTTACTAACAGAAGTAAAGCTGGATGAATGGAGGTAACTACTCAAGAGGATAAGTATCAGAAACCAAATAGGTGCCTCTAAAGAGAACATGGCTTCATATTTATTGTGTGGGATTTCAAATCTTTATTTCCATCAGTGTAACTGGAAGAATATTTCAGAAGGGTTGGCATGTAACATCTTGTGTTGCTCACTCCCCTCTGACCTCTGTAACACAGCCCTAAGAGAATATTTGAGCATATAAAATTACCATTACAGATAGGACTGTACTACTGACAGCAAATGGCAGCTTTCAGCACACCTCATATGGTGTCATATATAATTTTGCAAATAGCGGAATCAAAAGCCATGTATTTGTGTCGTTTTTATATCCCAAATGCAGTTTTTCACACCTACTCTATAACAAATTACATTCCTATTACTGATGCATGTTTTCAGAAACATATATTTTTGAAAAGGCTAAGATGATTGCGAATGCAAAAATCATAGTCTTAGCAAGTAAGAAATGGAGTATTGGCAAATTCAGCATTCACAGTATTCATTTCAGACACGATCCATCTGACATTAAACAGTCACTTTATTTGTCACCTCTTATTTGCTTCAGTAACTGACTTCAAAGTAAAACACAATAAAAGCACTGTGCTTTGTACTGTGTCTTGACACCTAGTGATTTTAGGGCATTGACCTACCCTTCAAACCCAGCCTTGGCAGTTGCCCCATTAAACATTGTTTTTAGCAGCTGGCGGTGCATATCAGTTAAAAGCTCAGCACAGACCATCAAGAATAGATGCTCAGATACACTAGCTGAGCAGTATTTATTCAGTAAGTCCCTGAATATGGCCTCTGTGTGAAGGCCATCAAGATTGGAAGAATGTTAGAGAAATTAAAATAAATTAATAAATCTTCTGTCATTTTTCTAATAGATTTTTTTTGTACATGTTGCTATGGGTATGAAAACAAAGCAAGCCAAGTGATATCACAATAAAGAGGGAAATGATAAATAAAATGATAATTTAAGAAAGTTCTGAATTATATCAATCTTTTGGAGACTTAGAGAACCTGAGCACACACATGGATTCCAAATTGCTCCTAGAAGGGTAGACAGGAGATGAGATACTACCCCAGGGAAATCTCCTGTGCCTTTAAGTGCTACAATCTTTTACACTGAATGAACCAGAGACACAAAGTAAATGCAATTTTAAATATGCTTTACTTCCTAGTATCCTCTTGAACTATCCAGAACAATTAATTATTGTTCATATAAACCAAAGGAATAGAGGACGGACGGACGGACGGACGGACGGAAGGAAGGAAGGAAGGAAGGAAGAAAGGAAGGAAGGAAAAAAAAAAAAAAAAGGAGGTAAAGGAGGTAATATGCCTCTCCTTGCTCTTTTCTTTTCCTTGCAACAATATAAATTTTACAGATATAGGTCTTTTATAAATGACACATCTTTCAAACTATTTGTAAAAGGATGATTTTTTAACAGAATATATCCTCCACTTCTGTTTCATATCTATTTGCTGTGCCAACAGGCAATGAGAAAACATCAGAAATGATTAATAGTCCTCCCAAACTATTTGCGGTTTCTCCAGGTATAGGGTGATCATGGGTTCATAGCCAGAGAACTTGATGATGGTATGTACAGCTTGCTGAAATTAGTTTTCAATTAGCAATACCTTGTAGCTGTTTATAAATATAAATAAAAATAGCAGTGAGGCTGTGAGAAGTTCCTGTCAGCCTTGTAAACCACCTAAATGTGACTCTACAGGGAACAAAAGATAATATAAAAATATATAAAAGTGTATGTATGTGTGTGTGTGTGTGTGTGTGTGTGTGTTTGTGTGTGTAAAAAATATATAGAAAGATATTGTAAATAGTATTGACACAGTGAAGATCTCACAACTCTATAATCATTAAATTGGGTATTTGCTAAAATCGGTAGTTCTATTTTCCATTCACAATAACAATGGCAGAATGCTGGTAACATCTTTCACAGTTTGCAATACAGCCAGCATACCACATCCTTTGTCCATAAAGCAAGCTTTCACCCTGAAGCTTGTTCATCCCAGTACTGATAAACTGCTTGTTGTGCAACACATCTAAGCATCCTGCTCTTCCTTTTCTGTGTTGCTTTACAGTGAGATTTCTTCGTGCAAAAGTACCTGTTCATCTAGCATGCAGTGAAACAAAAGGTTTCTTTTTGTCTTGTAAAGTGATCTGAGGCATTTGATTTTTTTTTCACTCAATTCATGCCCCAGCTTTTTGTTAAGACTGCAAAATCTCCCTTGCTAGAATGTCATTTGGATTCATTAAAAGCTGCTAGAGCTGCTGAATCCCGTGAGTGTTAGAACACTAGGCATGCTGAATTTTTCTTATATTGCTACATACCATTCACTGCACTGCAGTAAAGCTGCAGTTTCCAGAGCCCAATCCTGCCATTAAACATTCATTGGAAAGATTTACAGCCCCTTTATGCTACAAGTATCTTTATTTTAATTCAGTACTGAAGACTCAAGGTTAACAATAAAGCCCTTGCTGTTCAAGCAAAGCACTGCAATACTCTTTAGAAGAATGCTACAGAAAGGGGGTTTAGAGTACATAAGTTATTAATACGACTTGCATATTAAGCTGCTTTGAGGATTCTTTCCTTGATGTTTACAACTCCATTGCAGCAAAACATTCATGTCCTTAACGTTTTGATAATTTAAATTTTAATTTTTTAACTGTCTGGAAACATATTTTATATATGACTCTTTTCTTGATTCTAGCAAATTAATTCTTACTGCCTTTATAACTTTCAAAGGAAATATTCTTTCCAGTGTCTCTCTTTCTGATTCACATCTTTCCTGAGTTCTCAGTCCCATGAAAGTCCCTTAAAACTTCCTTATTTTTCTAACAAAATAAGTGCTATCTGCTTCATGGCTCCTTTTCAAGTAATAGACATATTCTCTGATTTTCAGCATGTTAGTGCTGAAACACTTAGTTAGTTAGTTAGTTAGTTAGCCTTTTGTCTCAGAAACATGCATTTTCAATAATAATTGCCCTATTTTTTTAATCAAAGCTACAGAGCATTGTTCTTATTGCTGATCTAGTGAAAGAAAATAGTTTGAAGGAACACACCAGTTAAAAAACTATTAAATATGAATAAGACCCAGTTACATATTGCCTCGAATAGTGCTGTAACACTGTAGAGAGATCAGTGTTTGAATGCACTGCTGTACAACACTGAATATTTCAGAAGCTTGTTATCAAGGAAAAGGAATGCTGGAGGTCACACATACCCAGTTTTGGCGAAGTTTGTCCAGTACGTCATTACTACTGCACTGAGCATGACATCATTCTTGGAAAAGTTGCAGTTGAACAGCTCTGTGGGACCAATCATGGGAATCCCAAATACATAAGGGACTTCATCACCATGAGCTGAATCAGCCCAGCTTGGTTTCATTTCACTTTGGCAGTGATGATAAAATGCATAGAAATATGTTGGAGATCCATATTGGGCATGAAGGTCAGCGGTGGCCACAGCAGGAGCAACCCACTGGTGGTCAGTAAAAAGAGCTACCAAGGTCTTCCGTCTTGTTTCAGGGTTTTCTTTGTCTGCCCAGTCAGTATACATGAACTTAATAGTCTCTCGCAGAGTATCTTTCCCTTCTGGATAACCATATAGATTGTCCACAAAATTGGAGACAGAAAAGTCAAAGTCATTGGGTGAAACACCATCTTCATTGTCTACAATACCATCAACAAATTTTAAACCTTCGCCTTGATTGACACCCAGCATTATGTCATAGTTTAGGAATTCCCCTTGCTCCATGAGAATCTGAGGGTCATCTGGAATCACGTCTCCATCAATCACGGGCCCAAAGGCAATGTGGTATGTGGCTGGAGTGATAGTCTGTTGAATGAGTTCTTTGTAGTTCTTATTCCGAAGGCATTCAACCAAATCAGTAGTATCTAGCATGTCGCAGCCCACTTTATCTGCCAATATCCGAGTGTACTTGGCAGGCTGATAGTTCACTGCCCAGCTGGACAGGGCTGTTCCACTCTGTATGATTGCTTTTTGGAACAAACCTGCAGGTGCAAATTTTTTAAATACAAATTAAATTATATTTAAAAAATAAATAAAAGCAGCTTTCTCTAGGCAAAGAATGCTTTGATTGTATGATACCTAGAGTATACAAATTTCAATAATTCAACTGAATTTCCATATATTCCATTCACTTCTCCCCTTCTATAGCATCTCCAAGAGCCTACTAATTAAAATGTCTTTTGTTCTTAGTGCTCATGCACAGAAAGCATGAAGGTTTCAAGCTGCTGTTTGAACAATAAAACTCATGCTTTTAATGTAGCTTTCTTAATGGAAGTCTCCTAGTTTTATAACATCGATAGTGCTGTAAAACTTTCTTCTTTAAAGGAGTGGCAGCTACAAGCAATCATATTTTCTTCTCCATGTAAATGATTCTCATAAATGCACTCAGTAGTTTAAAGGTCAAATGAAAATTACACTCTCATTTCCTTCATGGAAGCTGTGCATCATATAATTTGAAAAATCTCCTCATCTCCTGTATTAAAATCAATTTAATAGGCTTAGGTATTCTGCTCTGTCATCATTTTTTCATTACCATCCATATGGCTGTGGATATGTATATATATTTTTATTTTTATTTGGTTAGCAGTGTCTATATGTGTACTTTATATAAATAAAATATAATTATTTTATACATATTAAACTTAATATTTATATTGCTATTTATTTTTAATATTTAATTAAAATATGTTTTTTTTTAAGAGAATAGGACTAAATTCAATGGTCCTTTCTGGTTGTTTTCTATAGACCAAAGATACAAACTGAAGAGCTCTTTTATGTCACCAGAGTACTGAAAAATATCTACCGGTGAATCTGTCCCACCTCTTTTTACTCGGTAGGATCGCTAAAGTGGCCCATTTTATACTTAAGTTAAAATACATGAGTCTCTTTTGCACATAGTTTCCAATGATGAACTCTTGAAATGCCTAAGACAGCAGAAACATAAAAAAGTGAAGCATTTATAGGGAAAAATGGCTTTGGTTGAAATACCTTTGTGATGATTACTTACTGCACACACTACAAAATTTCAGTCCTGCAGTTAGTTTTTTCACTGCTCCATCTATGCTCTTGGCATGACTTACTTAACAGTTATTTAATGCATCCTATTTGTATCAGTACATTGAAGTCTCAAGGATAATTCTACATGCTTCCAAGTAAGGTGTTCTTAGTAGTAGCTCTGCTACAAATGCCTGCAGCAGCCTAGCCTTCTGACATAGATTTCCAGATGTTTAATATAATAGAAGGAGCAGAGATTTATAAACATAGCAGTTATTTGGTCTTGTCTTTTTTTTACTAGTTCTTTACAGAGCTCACCATACCAATAAGAATCTGTATGATTCGTAGAATTCTTAATCATAGTATCATAGAATCCTTAACATTGGAAGGGACCTTTAGAGATCATCCAGTCCAAATGCCCTGCACATACAGGGAAAATTTCAGTGCTGCTGCTGTATGCGTGTACATGTGCATACATACATATATATGTATGTATCTATCCTTTTTCTTTGAGAGAGAGAGAGAGAGAGAGTAGTCCCGCAGCTCAGACACTTATAAAAATATTAAGACCTTTTTGTAGGTTCACACACTACTTATGAGATTTGAAATTATTTTTGAATCTGATTAAGTTATAAAAGTCGTTGCTTTTTTCCATTGTAATTAGGGCAAATTCTTTAATAGAACAGTCAGTGGAGAATGGTAATAAATCTTGCATATTGCTCACAGAAATTTTTGCATAAGATTTATAATATTATATTATGTATTATGTATTATATATATTATATAATAACATTCTTTATTTCTTCATGTCAAAAATATTTTTGTTAACTAATCTGAATGCATATCTAGAATATGTTTCACAAAAATTATAGACTTCACATAATTCCAAGGGTCTGCCATTATATGGCCATTTGCTTTACACTACAATGTCAAAAAAAAAAAAAAAAAAAGCACACTGGATTTAAAAAGAATCATAACCAAACTACTTTGTTCTGCTCCTAAGATCGTTACCTTCTGAATAGTGAGAAAGTGTCAGGAGACTAACACAGGAAGCTCCTGCCCCAGATCCAAAAATAGTAACTCTTTTTGGGTCGCCTCCAAAGGATCCAATATTTTCTTCAATCCAGCGCAAAGCCTGGATTTGGTCAAGCAATCCATAATTGCCTTTTGCAGCTTGATCCCCAGTACTCAGAAAACCTATAATGGAAAAAAAAAAAAAAAAGAAAAAAGAAAAAAGAAAAAAGAAAAGATAATTTTAGCTCACCAGCTACAGAGTTACTTACAGTATATCCACATATTCACAACACATATTCCCATGTTTTCATCTTCTGGGCTTTTTTTTTACTTCATTTTTTAAAGGTCATAGTCCTAGTTAAATGTCTCCAACGCAAGCATTGGAACTCATTTTGTATGCTGTTTGGTTCTGACTTGTTTCTCTTACTGCAGAGATTTTGTGTGTGTGTGTGTGTGTGTGTGTGTGTGTGTGTGTGTGTGTGTGTGTGTGTGTGTGTGTCTTAGAAACAACTCTTTATCAAAGAAACAACAGAAATTGAAGATTTTAAATATTTGATAACTGTACATGACAAAGCACTGGAACAGGCTGCCCAGAGAGGTTGTGGAGTCTCCTTCTCTGGAGATCTTTAAAACCCGCTTGGATGCAGCCCTGTGCCACGTGCTCTAGGTGACCCTGCATGAGCAGGGGGGTTGGACTCGATGACCTCTGAGGTCTCTTCCAACCTTCGGCATTCTATGATTCTATACATGAGTAATGTAGTTTTCTTTTGTGCAAAGACAGCTTTCAGGTAGAAGAGGTATAGGAGTTCTTTCAGTAAAGGACAGTGCTTCCTAAAATAGTCAATTAAATGTCTCTTTCCATGGACCAAAATTATTCTAAATTATGCATAAAATACAGTCTACAAGTATATAAGCTATTTACATGAGATACAGATAGTCATTCAGAAACAGAAAACATGAAGAAAAAATAAAAGGAATAGGAAAAGTCAAAGAAAAAAAATAGTCAAAGAAAAATTCCATTTTTGGAAAGGATATTTATTACGAAAGTAATAGGTAAATCCACAACATTTCAACCTTTGGTAGGAGATTTTATCTGCACAAATCAGACTTTATTTCTTTCCTTGGAAATTTCAGGAAAAGCCGTGCTGCTATTTCTTTTTCCCCACACTGTGCTTATCAGATTTTAGAAAAAAAAAAGCATGACACACTTGGAACTTGTCTTGAAACTCAGAACAAAATGACCAAGAGACTAGGACTGAGATTAATTTTGCTTTTCTGCAACCTGCTAACTCATAACATTACCCTTATCCACTCCACCTATCACTCACAGTCTGGACCTTGTGCTATGTGCAAATTACCACACAGAGTCATGTACTTGCACTCCTCTTTTTCACTCCCTTCTCACGTCATGCAAGTGGAAAAAAGAGGTCTATTAGAAATATCTTTTAGCAGATGGACACTACTGATTTAGGCACCACTGACAACTACTTATCAAGAGGAAGCAAGGAATCACTTATGGGCGCTTCCAAGTCAGTGATAACTTCAGATCCATTTACCAGAAGAGGGCCTCAGGACTCAGGAGATCTGCAGCCCTGAAAACGATGCAAGGACATGAAATGAAAAGGAGATTCATGGTCTGTAATCCTGTAAGGCACCTCAGTATGCCATGAAAACATCTCTGTGCTCCCAGGAAGGGTTGAAACACCTCTGCGCTCATAGGAAGGGTTGTGAAGGAAGTCAGAGTTCCCTAGGGAAAAAGGACTTGCAGTACATTTGAGCTCCTTAGGCAGCAAGGAATAGATTTTCTTTTGTGCTGGCTATGTTTATTTGTCTAGTGATGGGTAGAATGAAGATTCACAAGGTTAAAGTCAGTAAATTAATAGAAATAGAGGAAACTGAAGGGGAGGAGCAAAAACAAGAGGAGGGAAGTAGAAGAAATCAGAGCTGCCAGACTTCATCACACCTGGATTTCTACATTGCTTTCTATGGCAAAATTCCTCCCATGAGATATAAATACAGCCTCAAATCATATAACATAAAGACCATACTCCAAACTTCAAGACCATACTCCAAACTTCAAAAACTATATACTCTACATTTTGGTGCCACAAATTTCTACATGTGAATTTGTCCATGGTTAAATGAAATGTATTATCTTGCACCAGGAAAAATAAATCCTTTTTATATTTAATTAGATATTATTAATAGGTATTCAATGTCTCCAAGTGTCTCATGAGCCCCTGCATTTATCACAAAACAGTTGCTTTAATCTGCAGTAATATGAATCATACCTTTATTACCTAGTATTTGATGTAGCTTTCTCATGGAAAAAAAAAAAAAAATTAATAATACCAACCACAAGAGTTAGAAGACTAGTAAAATCTTACTTTGTTTCCATTCAAATGTTCAATAACAAAACAAACCAACCAAACAAACAAACTAGTAATCTATAATTGTCCCCCCTCTTCTTTTTCACAGATTTTCTCTTTTACACATACCTTTATTATCTTCTTAAGATTGCCAAAGAAAGAATAAACCACTTGCTGGTTTTGTTGCTGCAATTCACTGCAATATTCTATAATATTCTATAATTAAGCCTTTATTCAATCAGGACTATGACCTCCCTAGGAAAAAGTGATTGTTGTAACCTTTAAAGCAGAGTAGTAATTAATATTCAGAGCCTAAACACATTTTAGCTCCTCTAGCAATATCAAGCTAAAGCTGGTTGATCTCTGTGATTTTGAATTCCTTCCAAATGTACTAAAAGGTGACTGAGTGAAACTGCAATCAATGAATATCTGAAGTTTTTTTCTTTTTATTTCCACAGTTCTCTGCTGTTTCTCATTAATTGCACAAGCAATCTGTCTAATTTAAAAGCTAGTCATCAAAGTGAAGTGTCAGCCCCACATGATACAAAATGAATTCATAAATCTATTTTTCTTGATGAGGATATATAAATGTTCATGTTCTGAATACCAAATCAAAATATTTCTTCAAAGACATTTTAAGAAATTCAGTCAAGGAGTGACTATTTGTCCAGAAATACACAACAACAGCAGAAGGCTTTCTTTGTATGGCCACCATGAAGATTTAGCAGCAGTATGTTCATGTGTAACTCTAAAATCCTAAGAGCCAAAACAAATGCAGCTTTTTTTTTGAAATGGGGATTTATCCTTTGTGGTTGTTAGGTATGTGTTTCTAAACGTGCTGTAAAAAATATTTGCAGTTTTATTATATGGCATGATTTGAAGGCAAGTCTGTGATCTGAAAATCCCTTAGCCAGGATTTTACCAGAATCTGGAAGTACTTCTCACTATTCTTACAAAAAAAAAAGAAGTAGTTATAATAGTTGAATACACAAAGGGTTTTCTTCTACATAATGACACAGAAATGTATCAACTCTGATATTCACTTCTTGACTTTATGAAACTTCCTCCCTCCAATTTTAAGTTCTAGGGTTGTCCACATGACCCCCTTTGCAAAACAAAAAGAGCAGACAAATAGGGGCTTGCGTACATGTGTACATGGAAGACTCACAACTGGCTGCAAAGGCATCTACTCCAGACTGCAAATGCTGAAGGAGAAAATGCTCATCAGTTGGAGTGAAGAGGAGCCAGGAAATTAGAGACTGAAGAGAAGCTGTCTGCAAGCAAAGAAAAATCCACTCGAAAGGACATGTAAAATGCATGACACTTTGTAGCAGTGATGAAAATAGGAACAGGGCAGCACCCAAACTGGGCTGAACATTGGGAGAAGTTGCCCTATTGTCATGATCACCATCCCAATCGGGCAAAACATTGCCCTGTGGGGCACCTGCACCAAGCAGTGGGTGACCAGATGAAGCAGTGTGTGGACATCCATGCCAGGATTCCATGGGGACCTCAAGTACTGGTAGAGGCACCTGCATCTCCCATGGGTACCATGGGGGAACCTGTGTTCCCTGGGATGCTGGTGAATGACAGAACTGAGGAGCAGCCAGACGCACATCTGCATGCATGGGTATGTGCATAGGTGTATGGCGTGTGACTAAACATTTAGGGGATTAGTTATACAAGACTGTTCAGAAATTTGTAGCTGTTTACTATCTGTTTGTAAGTGCCTCATATGGTGGTTTATCTGTTGTATCACTGTTACATACAGATTACTGATCGCCAGTTAATTATCTGTCGCTAAGAAATCAATAAACTGCTTTTATCTTGATTTGTTTTAAACAAAGTGAATCTAATAAATTTTCTTACTATTTTAGTTTATTAAATATATCATTTTATGATAATAAAAGGGACCCAAAAGAGTTCTTGATTTGTTTTGCTTTGTGACTTGAAATTAGCATTGCCACTAATGCTTCTTCAAAATGAGTTTTCTGAAGTAAAAAAAGAAAACAAAACAAAAACAAACAAACAAACAAACAAACAAACAAACAAACAAACAAACAAAAATCTCTTTGGTTCTCATAATGGAAGCATTCTAGATGAAATCCTTAGCTTCAACCAACTAAATTAGCTACAGTGAAAAGGGAAGAAAACTGTCAGTGGAAATTACTGGGAATTTTCCTTTTTCACGGCCTTTAAAAATGAATACACTCACAAGTCAAACGCTGTCATTTATACTGTTTCAATAATGCAGTGAAAATACAGAGTTATACAAACAGCTCCTCCAACACAGGTGGAAATCTCTTGCTCAGCACTATGGCTGATTTTCCTTTATGTCATTGGAATCTTACTAAGACACTAAAAAAACAAACAAGCAGTGATCTTTCCCCGGTGCACTGACAACTAAAAAGTAATGGGGAAAACAGGAATGGACATACAGTCAGACCCAACCAGTGCCAATCCCAAACCCCACAGGCCATTGAGGCCATTTTACTGCTCTCCATCTCTCACCTTGTCTTATATTTGGGGGCTATGTCTGCGTTAGTAGGCACTGCAAAACCATAAAATTGGGTTTGCAGAAGAAAAAAGTTGCTATGAGAACTTTATGTACACTCTCTGTGTATTCCCGGGTTCTTTATTTGCTCATTTTTCCCCCCACTTTCGACTAGCTGTGGTCTGGTCCCAAGGACCGACCGCTGGCAGGAGGGTGAGTGTATGGCCCTTGAGAGGTTTATCTGGAAGGCATCCAGCTTGCATCCTGTTGCATCACTCTGTGATATAAGGCAATGTATGAGAACGGAGGATGGTTTGGAG